AAAGCTTAGCCCTATGCAAAGATTCACAAATAGATAAAAAGTCTTTCTACACGTACAACACTAAAATGTAGTGCTGGGATTCAGTTTGTTATTAACAGCCATCAATTTGTTTCAGTTGATAGAGAGAAGCAAGAATCTAGAGGAAAAYCTKAGAAAGTTGGCYGAAGAAAGAAATCGAAGCGAGGARCTTCTGTATCTAATGATGCCTCGGCCAATCGCAGAGAGATTAAAGAATGGGGCGAACGCTATAGACACATGCGAGGTGACTCAACACTTGRTATCGTGYTTGAATTATTGATCGATTGATTAYGGTTTGGTATTGMTCGATCATTGMCTTGATTTATTGAGTRAWAGAGACACTSGTGAAAAACRSACTGCGCATGTCCACAGMTTTCCCGCCAGTGAGCGCTCGCGTCTTGAAATCTGTCAACAGAGCGCCTGGCGATTTACAGCGACAACACAGAAAAYACTACGAAAAACCTCATTTTCTCAAAATAGAAATAACAAGATAAAAGTAGAAACTACATACTAAAAGAACCTGATCATGAACAATTGATTGATGGAAATATGAATCTTATATATCGGTGAACGAGCTTATGAACTGTAAAAAAAGTTTCACAAAAATCGCTTTACAAARGAAATTAGGCAGRTTTCAGTGGGAAAGCTGTGGACATGCGSAGTGCGTATTTCACCAGTGTCAGTGACAGATAGATGGTTGATTAACGGATTGTGTAAAAAGATAAATYTAATACCGTAAAAAAGTAGGTGAAAMAACTTACTGACGTTTCGAACATTAATCCTTCGTCGGAGTAAAGAGTAAAGTAAAGTTTTTACTCCGACGAAAGATTAACGTCCGAAACGTCAGTAAGTTGTTTCACCTACTTTTTTTACGTTGTTAAATTTATCTTTTTACACAACTGTTTCTTTAGAAACATCGACGCAGCTCACACTAGTTTACCGCTAGTTCTCACCATTGTGAATATATGTTTTGATCGGTTACTGATTCTTTTATCTTTTCTTTTTCTTTTTTGTGTTTAGTATTTCGATAGTGTTACAGTCCTGTTTAGTTATTTGGATGGRTTTATCAAACTGTGTTCCAATGTCGATGCAATGGAGGTTGTTGCTCTTGTAGATCGCATGTTAAGAGTTTTCGACGTTCTCAGCGAGCAACACGACGTCTACAAGGTAAGCAATAAAACAGTGACCGTCCGCAATGCAATAGTAAATTGAACATAACAACCCCTCGGCTCTCCCCGGTGACTAAAATCCCGTAATCATTATATAATCAGTTTTAATTCACTTTCCAATAGTCTTCTTCACGGTTCCCTGCGCCATATTGAAAGGTAGCCGTGCCTTTACAACGAAGCGAGACAACCGTTGAGCGTGCAATGATAGAAACCCTTCTTTCGCACCTACAGACAATTATACACAGGTATCTATCATTGCGCGCGCAACGGTTGTCTCGCTTCGATGCAAAGGCACGGCTATCTTTCAAGATGGCGCAGGTAACCTTGAAGGAGACTATCAACGTTATTGCCTCCTGGACATCCCGTAGTATTTTATGATTCAAGATTGCGACGGTATACATGATACGATCAGTCTATCGTTGTCATCCAAAGCTCTTCTTTATTTCTAATAGTTTGAGACATTGGGAGACGCCGTTTATATGGCGGTCAGCGGTGCTCCAGTACGAAAGAAACGTCACGCCGAGCCAATGGCGGCAATGGCATTGGATATGATCAAGTCGATGGCCCAATTTAAGAAAGATTGTGGAAGGGATAGTTTAACAATAACAATAGGTAATATCTAATATTGCCTCGCATGATAAAAACAATATTGATATTTTCTATCTGACGGCGCGCGCATGCTTCCATCGTCCGCAGGCCCACTAGAGCGGATTTCGTATGAGTGGGACACCGTTACCGCACAGTTACCGGACCTGGCCTGCACAATTTTGGTGAACCAATGGGACACTAGAATTTGGTTACAGTACAATTACGGTCACAGTACAGTACCGTCCGTTTCCCACTCAT